CGATGATGAGGAGGACAGTGATGAAGGAGTGAGTACCTGCCGGAGGTGGTGAGGACGATGATGGCTCCTGCGCAGCACTTGAAGGACGCCTCCACTGCGCCGATGGCCGTGACCTCTGTGGGGTCAGAGGTCAGCGGGGTCAGCCGCCGCAGCTCCTCAAACAGCTGCTGGTGGAAAATTGCCGCCTCGGCCTCCCGGCACACCTGACGTGTGGACAGACAGGTGGACACATGGACACGGTCAGCGTCGGGGACAGACAGGTGGACACATGGACACATGGACACGGTCAGCGTCGGGGACAGACAGGTGGACACGTGGACACGGTCAGCATCATGCACAGACAGCTGGACACACAGAGATGGCTGGTGTCATGCACAAACAGGTGGACACGTGGAGATGGTCAGCGCTGCACACAGACTGGTGGACATGAGGACACGGCCAGCGTCACGCATAGGCAGGGACAGAGAGGCTGAGAGGTGGACAGGTGGAAAAGACTCACCGAGTGCATCATTCGCACGGCCTCAATGGGGTACTGCCCCTTGGCCGTCTCGGCGGACAGCATGACACAGTCCGCGCCGTCCAGCACCGCGTTCGCCACGTCACTGCCCTCCGCCCGCGTCGGCCTCGGCTTCCCCACCATACTCTCCAGCATCTGCCACAGGGCAGAGGGGCCCACACAGAGACAGAGACAGGGGGACATGGGCAGAGACACACAGAGACACAGAGCCAGGTGGACAAAGTGACACAGAGAGAGAGAGACAGGTGGACACGGTCAGTGACACAGAGAGAGAGAGAGAGACAGGTGGACATGGTCAGTGACACAGAGAGAGAAAGAGAGACAGGTGGACATGGTCAGTGACACAGAGACACAGAGCCAGGTGGACACGGTCAGTGACACAGAGAGAGAGAGACAGGTGGACACGGTCAGTGACACAGAGAGAGACAGGTGGACACGGTCAGTGACAGACTGACAGTTACACTGTGACACTCTGGACTCCAGTCCTGTTCCTTGTGGGCGAGAGGTCAGAGGTGGCCAGTCACACCTGTGTGGCGCAGATGACCGGTTTGCCAGCTCTGTTGCAGTGTCCGATCATCATCTTCTGGGCGATGAAGACCTTCTCCGCCGGGATCTCGATGCCCAGGTCCCCACGAGCTACCATGATGCCATCGCTCTCTGCCAAAATCTCATCGAACCTGAGAGAGACAGGGACCACGAGGGGCTGAGTTCAACACTGCTGAACACCAGCACACAGTGCTGAGACACACTGAACACCAGCACACAGCGCTGAGACACACTGAACACCAGCACACAGCACTGAGACAGGGGGCCGACACACACTGAACACCAGCACACAGCGCTGAGGCAGAGGGGCCGACACACACTGAACACCAGCACACAGCACTGAGACAGAGGGGCTGACACACTGAACACCAGTACACAGCACTGAGACAGAGGGGCAGACACACACTGAACACCAGCACACAGCACTGAGACAGAGGGGCTGACACACACTGAACACTGCTGAACACCAGCACACTGCAGCAGCATGATGAGGAGACGGATGTACAAGAGGGACACATGTCAAAGTGCGAGAGAGAGACGGACAGTGAGACGTCCACTCTGCCTGACTCCGCCCCCCGACTGACCTCTTGACCCCCTCATGGTTCTCGACCTTGCTGATGACCTTGATGTGGCGTCCGGCCTCGCCCAGCGCCGCCCGTACCGCGCGCACGTCCGCCGCCTTGCGGATAAAGGAGGCGAAGACCATGTCGACGCCCTGCTGCACCCCGAAGGCCAGGTCCGCCCGGTCTCGCTCTGACACCGCGGGCAGGTCGACCTTCGCCCCTGGCAGGTTCACCCCCTTCCTGCTGCACAGGACACCCCCATTCTCCACCTCCGTCTGCACCCAGTCTGGGCCTGACAGAGGCAGCGAGGTGAGGGTGAGGGTGAGGGTGAGGGTGAGGGTGAGGGTGAGGGTGAGGGTGAGGGAGCACACTGCAGTGTGAGTGTCTGTGAGTGTGTGAGCTCACTGCAATTTGAATGAGAGTGAATGTGAGAGTGAGCACTGCAATGTGAATGAGAGTGAGTGTGAGTAAGACTGTGAGTGTATGAGCACACAGGAGTGTGAGAGTGTGTGATCACAGTGCAATGTGAATGGGAGCGAGTGAGTGTGTGATCACACTGCATCGTGAGTGTGAGTGAGACTGTGAGTGTATGAGCACACTGCAGTGTGAGTGTGAGTAAGACTGTGAGTGTGTGAGCACACAGGAGTGTGAGAGTGTGTGACCACACTGCAGTGTGAATGGGAGCGAGTGAGAGTGTGAGCACAAACACACTGCAGTGTGAGTGTGAGCACAAACACTGCAGTGTGTGTGAGCACACTGCAGTGTGAGTGAGACTGTGAGTGTGTGTGAGCACACTGCAGAGTGAGTGAGTGTGTGAGCTCAGTGCAGTGTGAGTGAGTGTGAGGGTCTTACCTATCTCCAGCACCCTGAGTGAGATCAGTCCGTCGTCGATGTAGATGCGTCTCCCAGGCTGGACCACGCGAGGCAGGCTCTCATAGTCAACCCAGATCAGCTGGCCGTCCGTGCTGTCCCGCAGAGAGCCAGCCGTGACCACTCGAACCCGGGACCCTCGCTCCAGCTCCACCTCCCCGTTCACCTCCTGCACGCAGACGCGAGGACATTATAGACTACTGACTCTGTCCAGTCAGTCCAGTCCAGGGCAGTTTCTACACTCACCCCTCTGACCAGTCCTGTCCTGATCTCTGGCCCCTTGGTGTCCAGAGCGATGGCCACGGGCCGGTAGTACAGAGGGTCAGAGGTCAGGGTCTCCGTCGCCTCCCGGATATTCAGAATGGACTCTGCGTGGTACTGTGGACAGATGGTCAGACGGACAGGTCAGCAGACTGGCAGGAAAACACAG